TGGAGTTCTCTGTTAACCTCTGTCTGTTCAGCTAGAATAAGCCCGCAAACTAAGTTTTTAACCTTTCTTACTCCCACCTACCTAGGAATAAGTCACAGCAAACATATTTCAAGTGCGTATAAGTTACAAACAAGACGGGTTCTGTAGATTAGGTCTTGAATTTCCATGTAAGTTGGAACTGGTAATTTTTTTAATGCATGTATGTTTTGGATAGCATAGGGAAGGGTTAACACCCCCGTGGTGTTTGTTTTGCTGTCTGTGCTCCTGTTCAGAAGATTTCACCTCACTTTCTGTCCTTGTGATAATTGGATTTTGAAAAAAATGACTTGTTGCAGAAACAAGGATTAGTGATAAATCTTGACTGGCAGCCCCTTTTCCCCATGATAACTCTTCCAAGAGTGAATTTCCCTTCCTAGGGGTAGATTTCTCTCATTTCCTGTTGTCTCACCTCTGTCCTTAACTAGGAGTTGTTTGTTAGTCAGAGGTTTGTAACTTGGGAACTCCCTGTATTGCTTACTGTTTCTCATTGCATCTTTTTTTTTTTACAGTTCTCTCTGCAGATGTATGCAACTGTAAAAGTAGTTAGTTTAAAGCAGGGATATGCAACCACAGAGGAGAGCGAGGCTAATTTTCACCCAGTGTTACTTTCCCATAACTTTTGAGCCCATTTTTGTATTCCAATTTCTCTCCRCCCCCCCCCCCCCGGGTTTGGGGGATAAGGTAGATAGAGGGTGGTAAATCATCATACTCAAGACTGTTTTGTTATGTTGAATTAGCCATATTTTTAAGGTGAAAATTGCTTCCAGTGGCAAAATGTTTAAAATTTTCTTTTAAAGTGTTGGGGTACTGTGGATGTCACCAGTGAGGCTTTAGGTCCCACAAAAGAGTGGCTCAGGTCCTTCAAATAGCCTGCAAGGGGAAATGTTCTCACCATTGCTTTAAAATATTGCATTGGGCCAAACAGGGTATCAAGGCCGAACAGGGTATAGGGTTACATCCTGTGCTGGATGGGGTCGCACTCCCCTTGAAGGCGCAGGTTCGCAGCTTGGATGTGACCCTGGATTCATCGCTGAGCCTGGAACCCCAGGTCTCGGCGGTGACCAGGGGAGCATTTGCACAGCTTAGGCTCGTGCGCCAGCTGCGCCCGTATCTTGGGAAGTCTGACTTGGCCACGGTAGTCCACGCTCTGGTTACATCCCGTTTAGACTACTGCAACGCTCTCTACGTGGGGTTGCCTTTGAAGATGGCTCGGAAGCTCAATTGGTCCAACGTGCGGCAGCCATGATACTAACAGGAGCGGGACGCAGGGAGCATACAACCCCCTTGTTGTACCAGCTCCACTGGCTGCCGATTTGCTACCGGGCTCAATTCAAGGTGCTGGCGTTGGCCTATAAAGCCCTAAACGGTTCCGGCCCAAGATACCTATCCGACCGCATCTCGACCTACGAGCCCACCAGGACTTTGAGATCTTCCGGGGAGGCCCTGCTCTCGATCCCGCCTGCTTCACAGGCACGGCTGGCAGGGAAGAGAGATAGGGCCTTCTCGGTGGTGGCTCCTCGGCTGTGGAACACCCTTCCCGTGGACATCAGAATGGCTCCTTCCCTGATGATATTCCGCAGGAAATTAAAAACTTGGTTGTTCAAGAAGGCGTTCGAACAAGAAGTGCAATGATTGGTAATGATGATAGGATTGGAACAACGGAAATGATACTGGATTGTGGTTTGGACGATGAGACGACACGGAATGGCTTTTGTAGTAATGATGATGTTTTGATGACGATGTTTTTGATGATGATGTTTTTGTTATTGCTGGATGTGGATTTTAGATTATGTCTTGAATTTTTGAATTTTGTTCCTTCTATGTTGTACACCACTGTGAGTCGCCCCCGGGCTGAGAACAGCGGTATATAAGCAAAGTAAATAAATAAATAAATAAATTATTTGGCATGACAATATTGTAAATTAAATGCAGCTCAACGCAGCCTACCTCACACTCTTCCTGCATTTATTTTTACAACCTTGGGCCCTTCCACACACTCCCTATATCCCAGGATCTGATCCCAGGTTTTCTGCTTTAAACTGGATGAGTTCGGAATGCCAGGTAATCTGGGATAAACAGAAAACTTGGGATCAGATCCTGGGATATAGGGCCTTTCTGGAAGGCCCCTAGAATATCAAGGTAGAAAATCCCACAATAACTGCTTTGAACTGGGTTATCTGAGCCCACACTGTCATCTATTCCAGTTCAAAGCAGATAATGTGGGATCTTATTCAGCTGTTTGGAAGGAGCCCTTGTATGGTACGTAAGGCTGTTTTGGGTTTCTGCATTCACATATAGGTACACGACAAGGTATCTTGGAGCTGTTATCCAAGTCCCTAAAAGACATGTTTGTTTTATGTACACTTTATACACACAGAATCCTAGAGTTGGAAGAGACCTCATGGGCCATCTAGTCCAATCCCCTACCAAGAAGCAGGAAAATCGCATTCATAGCATCCCTGACACATAGCCTGAAGGTAATGGTATACAAAGTATTTCTTCTACTACTACTGGCATGATTTCAATATGGAATGTAATGTTTTTAAATGTTTTAATATGTACTCATTTTAATATAATTTTAATTTTAATATTATTGGAATTGTATGTGTTTTAAGGCATGGAATAATTGCCTATATGTAAGCCACCTTTAGTACCCTTCAGGGTAGAGAAAGACAGGGTATAAATAGGGCAAATAAATAAATAAATACTCCTACTGATAATAATATTTTTTTTCTTACTCACCTCTCCATGTGGCTCAAGGTGGGTTACAACATAGCTGTGCATGAAACAAAAGCTGAATCATCAGGAAGCGCATGCATCCTCAACCTGTATCATTCATATATAAATAGATACATAGATAGACTAGCCATCCCCTGCCATGTGTTGCTGCGGACCAGTCTGTGTATATATGTGTTTTGTGCGTGTATGTTTTTGTATATGTGTATATATGTGTGTTTGCATGTATATATGTGGTTTTGCGCATGCATTGTAATATATTTTTTGGTTTTGGGCTTTTTAAGTCTCTTCTGCTGTGTTTTTCAGTGTTTTTATGAGTGATGGTCACTCCTTGGCCTGATAGGTGTATTGTGTCCAAATTTGATGTCAATTCATCCCGTAGTTTTTGAGCTATGTTAATCCCACAAACAAACATTACATTTTTATTTATTTAGACTAGCCGTCCCCTGCCATGCATTGCTGTGGCCCTCAGAAAACAGAGAAATTCCAGGCATGAAACAATAGACAGAAGAGACAGATGGAAGGGACATTGATAGATGGAACAGAAGATAGATGGACAGAACATAGATAGATAAGTAGATTGATGGATGGTCAGACAGACAGACACACATCTTTAAGGCTAAAAAGGGTTGGACTAGATGGTATTTGAGGCTCCCTTCCAACTGGTTGGCCATTTGTCGGGAGGGTTTTGATGGTGTCTTCTTTTACTGTAAAAAGTGGTTGTGCTGGATGGCCTATGGGGCCCCTTTAACTACCATGCCTCAATGCTGTGGAATAATTCCACGGTGTAGACCAGGTAGGGGCAAACTTGGGACCTCCAGAGGTTTTGGACTCCAACTCCCACAATTCCTAACAGACTTCCTAAGAGTCTTTTGGGGTTGGAGTTGTATTTGTTGCTGTGTTTTTGGCATTTTTCTGAGTGATGGTCACTTGTTGGCCTGAGAGGTGTATTGGGTCCAAATTTGGTGTCAATAAGTCCAGTGGTTTTTGAGTTATGTTAATCCCACAAACAAACATCACATTTTTATTTATAGATTGGAGTATGTTTACCAGGCATGAGCAAACTCGGGTGATAGTATGATAGCTGGGTCCGGGAGCTCCGAGCGTTACGCGCATTCTGCAACAGTGGTTGTGAATAAGGAAAGGGGAGAGCGGCACACTGAGGGCGAGTATGTACTTCAATTTGGTGGAAGGATAGAAAGGGCTGGAGGGTTAGGATAAATTTTAGGGTAGGGTTTAGGGTTAGGGTTTGGGTTAGGATTAGGCTTAAAGATTAGGTTTAGGGTTAGGGTAAGGCTTAGGGTTTGGGGTAGTGTAAGGGCAGAGGCGGCCCTAGGTAATTTTCAATTGTAAGCAAACAGTACTCCCCCCCCCCCAACCAATCATTGATATATATTTTCTGTTCATCATGGGAGTTCTGTGTGCCATATTTGGTTCAATTCCATCATTGGTGGAGTTCAGAATGCTCTTTGATTGTAGGTGAACTATACATCCCAGTAACTACAACTCGCATATGTCAAGGTCTATTTTCTCCTAAGAGCGCCCCTGGACAAAATCACCTATACTGCAAATAATTACTTTGCGTAATGGGTTGAGCTGCCCCTGGGTACCAGTTAGGGTTAGGTTTAGGATTCAGGTAAAGGTTAAGGTTAGGCTTAGGGTAAGGTTTAGGTTAGGATTAGGGTTTGGGCTAGGGTTAGGTAAGGTTTAGGGTAAGGCTTAGGGTTCGGGTAAGGGTTTGACCATTAAAGAATTCTTACATTCCTTCTATAATTTCATTAATTAATTAATTATGTCTGTGTTCCGTTCTGCGTTGCGCAAACAGCGCTCCCAAAGGAGCGAAGCGGAAACAGCGTAACACTCTGAGCTTCCGGACCCAGCTTTCATACTATTACCCAAACTCGGGCACTCCGGGTGTTTTGAACTTATCCCCCGCAATTCCTAACAGCCTAGGAATGTGTGGGAGTTGAAGTCCAAAACAACTGGAGGGCCCACGTTTGGCCATGCAACGCCTTGGCGAAACTCTTCTCTCCCGCGTCCTGTTCACTCTTTCTTCGGCGTTTCTCCAGCGGCGCTGGACGCCCACTCCGAGTGACGTTGTGGCCGCGCTGACCAATCAGAACCTGGGAGCCCGGCAGGAGAGGCGAAGCGCACGCGCCGGGCCAGCGCGTGGCTATATAAACACGGCAGATGCGAGGTGGAGACCCCAGTGCGCTTCGCGGGGCGGGGCCAGGGGTCGCTGCTGATTGGACCGGCGCAACCAGGGAGGGTTCCTCCGGGAAGCAGAGGCGTAGGCAGACCCACGTGCGAGGAGGAAGAGGAGGAGGAGGAGGACCATGTGTTTCTGGCCAGAGGCTCAGTAGCCGGGACTTTTGGCGCAGCGTCAGCCGCGGGACCTTGGGTAGCTGCTATGCTGCGCAGCGGCTGCAAGAGGTAGTCCCAGCATCCACTCCAGCCTCTTCCTCCATGACGACTCCTCCGGCAACGGGGAAAGTGATGCCTCCCGGGCCTCCGGAGCGGCTCCAGTCGGGCCAAGTGGCCCCCAAGCCCTGCCCGGCGACCCCCTTGGCTGCCCAAAGCCCCTCCGGTGCCCACGCGCCTCTGGGCCTGATCCCCCCTCGAGTGGCACCTTCCCCCGGGGAGACCCTGGGGCCCAAAGTGGCCCCCAAAGTGGACCCCCAGGCCACCACCGCCCTGCAGTTACCGGCCAACCTCCAGATTGCACCCGGTAAGATGGCACCCACTTTAGGGACTGGCTTCTTTGTCATTTATTGCCTCAACATTGGGAAGAACTTCCTTCTGTAAGAGCTGTTCGGCTGCTAACTCGGAGACTATGATGAAGTCGCCTTCTCTAGAGGTTTCGAAGCAGAGGCTGGATGGTCATCTGTTTGGGGTGCTTTGAGTGTTTTTTGCTGTATGGCAGAATTGGGTTGGACCCGATGGCCCCGGAGGGTGGGGTCTCTTCCAACTCTAGGGTTCTCTGCCAGAGTTTAGAAGGTTTAAGGGGAGCATCACCAGGCTTTGTATATTAGAGAACATAACCTTTGAGAGAAGAGCAAAAAAAAAAAAAAACCCAAAAAAACCAACAAATAAACAATTTAGAGCAGAATCTTTTCTTGAAGTAGGCAACCAAATATAATTATGCTAGATTGTCGTTTCAGTTGTTAGACTGAATAACCTGCAATCTCCGATCTGTCAGAAGAGATTTGCCAGTGCATAGGAAGCAGCAGAGCTTTAGAAGTGTTTTCTTTTTCAGTGCCCAAAAAAAGACTCTCCCATAAAACAACTTGTTTCAAATCATGCACTCAAGAGACAAAAAAATGAAGTAGACTTTGATAATAATAACAACAATAAGCTTTATTTACAGTCCGCAGTCTGCACCCTCTCCTCAAAGGGACTCGGGGTGGCTTACAACAAAGGAACCAATGCAATAAATAATATACATAGAACATAATCACATATCAATTAATAAAATGGGTTGCTGTGAGTTTTCTGGGCTGTATGGCCATGTTCCAGAAGCGTTCTCTGCTGACATCTATGGCAGGCAATCTCAGAGGTGGGAGGGGTCTGTTGAAAACATTGTGTTTTTTTGCTGTGTCGGTTTTATGCGCTTCTGAACTGTGGTGCTGGAGGAAAGTTCTGAGAGTGCCTTGGACTGAGAAGATCCAACCAGTCCATACTTCAGGAAATAAAGCCCATCTGCTCATTGGAGGGAAGGATATTAGAGACAAAGTTGAAGTACTTTGGCCACATCATGAGGAGACAGGAAAGCTTAGAGAAGACAATTATGTTGGGGAAAATGGAAGGAAAAAGGAAGAGGGGCCGACCAAGGGCAACATGGATGGATGGGATCCTTGAAGTGACTGGCTTGACTGAAGGAGCTGAGGGAGGTGATGGCTGACAGGGAGCTCTGGTGTGGCTGGTACATAAGGTCACAAAGAGTCGGAAACGACTGAACGAATGAACAACAACATGAATAAATCTCCAATAGACGCCTCAACCTCTGAGGATGCCTGCCATAGATGTGGGTGAAACATCAGGAGAGAATGCTTCTGGAACATGGTCATACAGCCCGGAAAACTCACAGCAACCCATTTTATTAATTGATATGTGATTATGTTCTGTGTATATTATTTATTGCATTGGTTCCTTTGTTGTAAGCCACCCCGAGTCCCTTTGAGGAGAGGGTGCAGACAGCAACCCATTGATTCTGGCCATGAAAGCCTTTGACAAAAAAGTAATAAAATGATGAAAATAACATATTTGGTTTACTCACTGCCTTCACATGAGCAGCATACACGTGTACAAAAACATATTAGTCCATTTTCAAATATCTTTGAGATGGTTCTCTGTGCTAGCCAGCCAGGCATCTCTCTTGTAACAAAACAGCTGTCAACACAGTTAAAAGGAGGGAGAGAGAGCATGTGATCTGCAGCACTTTTATAACTTCTCAGAAACCATATATTAAAGGAAGCTTCACACCAGCACATACATATAGGAGGAAACAATAAGCAACAAGGTCATAGATAAACAGGAGGCTTGATGAAGGTTGTCATTTCCATCATTGTAGTATGTGTATTTTTTTAAAAGGTACTTCCTGATGATAAGTAGGTTTGATGGTAAAAAATGCTATCCTGGTGTTGTGGAGTCTCCTTCTCTAGGTTTTTAAGCAGAAGCTGGATCACCATCTCTTGAGAGTGCTTTGAATGTGTGTTCCTGCATTGCAGAATACAATTGGGCTGGAAAGGCAATTTCCATGTCATGCTATGCTCTAGACCTGTGTTTCTCAAACTGTGCTCCTCCAGGTGTTTTGGACATCAGCTCCCAGAAATCCCAGCACTGGAGGAGCACAGTTTGAGAAGCTCTGCTCTAGACTGGGTTGTTGTAAGTTTTCCGGGCTATATGGCCATGTTCCAGAAGCATTATCTCCTGATATTTCACCCACATCTATGGCAGGCATCCTCAGAGGTTGTGAGGTCTGTTGGAAATTAGGCAAGTGAGGTCTATATACCTGTGGAATAATGTCCAGGGTGGAAGAAAGAACTCTTCTCTGTTTAATATTATACTATACCCCATACTATATATTATCATAAACTCTATTTTATTTTGGGCCAGAGGTTTAGCACAGCTGGTACATCATCAGCAATTATAAGATCTATCAACCAAAATGTTGCAAATTTGAAGCCCTGGGTTGGCATGAGCTGCCAACTATCAGCCTAGCTCATTGTTTACCTAACCAATTTGAAAACAGCTTTAGCTGTGATTAGCGAAATTAGGTACCGCTAAAAGCAGGGGAGGTGTTTTACGATGCCATAAAGAAAGAAGATCAGAAAATGCTGGGTGACCAAAGGGAAGGAGGAAGTCCTGACGGCTCTTTGTCATAGAGGATAGAGCAACAGCACTCCCTGGACTCAAGCCCAACCTTCCACGGCACCAAAAACAGCTGAAACAAACCACCTCCTTCTGTTCTGTCTGTGTATTGTCGATACAAAGCAGCATTGAATATTTGCCGTGTATGTACTGTGATCTGCCCTGAGTCCCCATCAGGGTGGGAAGGGCGGAATATAAAGATATAAAGATAATAGAAAATAAAGGCAAACTTAATGTAACACAGTATTATAAAAACAACTTTGTGTTATTTCTTCATTTTTTGCCACTTGATTGAGTTCTGGTTAATTGAGAGTCCAACATTAACTTACCAGTATTTAAATGGGAAGTGTAGGGTTGAGAGAGTCAAGTTAATTAGGTTTGCTGTTATTGTGTGCTTTCAAGTTGACTTAGACTCAGGGCAACCCTAAGTCTCGTGTTTAAGGCAAGGTAAATGACCTTGAAGGGCCACATCCAGCCTGCAGGCCTTAGTTTTGAAACCCATGGTGGTCTACTGTATATATTTGGGAGGTATGCCATAAAGAAGGCATCCTCAAATTGCGGCCCTCCAGCTGTTTGGGCCTCCAACTCCCAGAATTCCTGGCCAATGAACAAGCTGGCAAGGGCTTCTGGGAGTAGGAGGCCAAAACAGCTGGAGGGCCACAGTTTGAGGATGCCTGCCATAAAGGAATGTGACTGGTGTATTTGCTATTGTGTGGAGAAAACAAGCTATGCATACTTTCACTTGGGATTTCCCCTTTTAGAAGACAGTTTTCCAAGATTTCTTAAACTTTTCAAGGTATGATGGGAAACATGTATATTTGTTGAGAATTCTTGAGAACTTAAAACTTCTCAGATGAGATTAGCTGCTTAAAATCTATTACTCAGATTTCGAAAACCCAAAAGAAAGCTAAAGATGTCTTCCCCATAGCGTAGTGGTGCTGATAATCAGTTACCTGATTGCCTACAGTAGTATCAGACATTGCTCTGTACTTGCATGGAGTAAATATATCCTAACAGCATAATTTGGCATCAGAAGTTTCTTTTCCTCACATATGACTGGATACATAGCATTATTGTCTTTTTCATGTAGTTCATGTATCTCCATCTATCAGTGGATTACAGGTTAAGAATCTCAGGCAATTGAGTTGTTCAGTGAATTGCTCATTCAAGTTATGCCCGACTCAGTTTTACTGACTTAAACGTGGGTTTCGAGCTCTGGATTAAATAGGCCGAACTCTATTTTCTTTCAACACTTCAAATATGTAGGGAATACTCCCTTAGGTGGTGCTGAAACCTTTTGGATAGCCAGATTTGAATATACTTGCTGCTTTTAAAATGTGACTTGCTTTCAAAAGTTCCTTCCAAGCTATATGTTTTTAATTAGTTGCCCTCTTAAACCTGTTATCAAGCATGAATAGAGTTACCAGTTCTATTTAGAATAGACTCATTAAACAGATGGGAATTTAGTAAATTATCACATATAAATTCCATTGATTTTATGGGTGTGCTATAGTTGGGAACAAACAGTCTATGAGCCCTTCCAGACAGGCCCTATATCCCAGGATCTGATCCCAGATTTTCTGCTTTAAACTGGATTATATGAGTCTGCTCTGCCAGAAATTCTGGGATAAACAGAAAACCTGGGATCAGATCATGTAATATAGAGCCTGTCTGGAAGGGCCCTGAGTCAGTTGGTCTTAGATACTCCAAGGTTTCAGATACCATCTGATCTTAAGAGTTCCAGTCAGATAGCTTTTCAAAAGATTGCCCCAGGCACTGCCAGGCCATCAAATGCTAATCAAGGTGGTTGAAACAGTCACACCTAGCTCCAACAGACAAGAGTTCTTTGTCCCACTCTGGTCATTCCACAGATATATAAACCCTTTTCCTTAGTTCCAACAGACCTCACTACCTCTGAGGATGCTTGCCATAGATGCAGGCGAAATGTCAGGAAAAAATGCCTCTAGAACATGGCCATATAGCCCGAAAAACCTACAACAACCCAAACCATTCCATTGTCAAAAAGCTCATATTGTCAATAGTTCTTTCTAATGTTCAATCAAAATCTGTTCACTTGTAACTTAAAAGGATTAGACCTCATCTTACCCTCTGTTAGTACTTGGATTGGATGTTGCAAATGAATGACATATTTTGGAGGAAGGAACTGCAAAACCACGTCTGAATCTTCCTTGTCTTGTAATAATAATAATAATAATAATAATAATAATAATACATAGTCCTAGATGTTTGGAAAGTGTTCGACTTATGATTTTGTGATACGAAATCCAGCATGTATATCTCATTTTCTGTGACATACTGTGTTTTTGTGTCAGTAAAATAATAATAATAATAATAATA